TAACCACAGGCAGAGATTAGGATTTACAACACATAGGAAAATTATGTCAATTACAAAATGGAAGACAACCACACAATACTGGGAATTATGGCCTAACCAAGTTGACATATATTTGTGGGAGACACAATTCAATCCATGACATCCATTGTCCAACTTTCACATGCATATGAGGCAATTGAAAATACCATGGCTTGGGTCAGGCCTTAAAGTGACGTCTTTGCTTTTTAACACTTTAAAGAGGTCTTTTGCAGGATATTTGCCCAATGCAATGTGTCGATTGATGTAGTTGATTTGACTCCTGTGTATTCCGTCTGGCAAAGTCTACATGTATAGTCACCATTGTGTTGTTGAAGAAAGGTATTTCCAATGAATTGGTCATTGGTTTTGCAAAATTCTGTCATTCCATCTCCAGCATTGTTTCTATCACCAAGGCCATATTTTCCAACTACTGATCCTTCTTTATTTCCAACTTTTGTATTCCAATCACCAGTAATTATCAATACATCTTGATTGCATGTTTGATCAATTTCAGACTGCAGAAGTTGGTAAAAATCTTCAGTTTCTTCACTTTAGCATTAGTAGTTGGTGCATAAATTTGAATAATATTTGTATTAAATGGTCTTCCTTGTAGGTGTATGGATATTATCCTATCACTGACAGCATTGTACTTCAGTACAGATCTTGACATGTTCTTTTTGACAATGAATGTGATGCCGTTTCTTTTCAGTTGTCATTCCTGGCATAGTAGACCATATCATTGTTCCATTCAAAATGGCCAATACCAGTCAATTTCAGCTCACTGATAGGATATTGATCTTCAAGCGTTCCATTGCATTTTTGACAACTTCCAGTTTTCCTAGATTTATACTTTGTACATTCCACATTCCGATTATTAATGGATGTATGGATATATGTGTGTGTGTGTGTGTGTGTGTGTGTGTATAAATATACACACACGCACACCATTAACCTGTGGTCGTCAACTCAATTCTGACTCATAGCAACCCTATAGGACAGAGTAGAACTTCCCTATATAGGGTTTCCAAGGAGCAGTTGATATATTTGATGTATGTATGTATATGTATATATATTATATATATTTCTGTCTTTTCTTCTAGGTTATATGCTATTGGTGGACGCGATGGAAGTTCCTGCCTCAAATCAATGGAATGTTTTGATCCTCACACTAACAAATGGAGTCTGTGTACTCCAATGTCCAAAAGACGTGGAGGTGTGGGAATTGCAACATACAATGGATTCTTATACGTTGTAGGGGGTCATGATGCCCCTGCTTCTAATCACTGCTCCAGGCTTTCTGACTGTGTGGAACGGTAAAATATGTCTATTTATGTATGTATGTATTTGTTTATTTTTTCAGAAAAGAGAAAGATTTTTAAACTACCAGAAAGTAGTCTTCCATATAAGGATTAATCCTTTGTAAAATTGCACTTACTCCTGGCTCAATATATTTTGTAGAAATCCACTTTAGGTATTTCAGATCCAGCACAGGAAATACATAAAAATAATATATCTTAATGCTGTATAGCCACACTATAAAATAATAAAATGAAATGGAATATAAGAATAAGAAAATGTTATGCCAAGCTGTATCACTCATCTGATTCACCAAATTGAAATCAAAATAACATTACTGTTTCTAAAGTCAAGTCAATCCTCAAAAAGATAAAGACTTAACAACCACAAAATATACAGAAAGAATTTCCAAAGAGAGATTTTAATAATGCTTCAAAAAATACCTATACTGGAATAAGTATTTAGTTTCCCAAGGTAACATCTTGGAATGCAAGACATTCCTTTGGATGAATAAATTGTGATATATTTGTTAAAAGAAGTCAGTCGTTAAAGGAAGTCAGTCATATGTTTTTGTAGTTATAACCTTCATATTCCCTTTCAACATAGAAAATATATATATATTCACAGGAAATAGTTAAATAATAGCTGTGTAAGACTAAGTGATAAATTTATGGTCAGTAAGGTTATGGGAATTCAGAAAAGAGAGATGATTATGACTGGTATCCTCAAGGGAAATTCTTGGAAAAGGTAAAATTTGTACTTTGTAGGCATAAAAAATAATGAAGGAAATGTCAGGCCTAGGAAAAAGCACAACCAAAATCAAGAAGGAGAAAGTTTTGTAGATAAGAACAGAGACTTTCAGTTGAATTATACTTTGGCAGGACAATTGAAAACACAAGTGAAGACAACATTGTCTTATGACCCGAAATGCAAAAGTGGAAGATTTTATATTTTATCTTCTAGGTACAGAGATAAATAAATTTGGGGGAATTGGCATATCATGAAGAAAGTAGTTTAGAAGCAGTATATCTAATGATGATATACAGAATAGAGGAAGAAGAAACTAAAGAAAGGAAGATGAATGTTATTATTTTTCTTCTAAGAAGCATACCACTGAATCATAAGTGATAATTAAAGCTAATACTCAGTTTTTAACACAGATAATCTGATTTGTAGTTTTGTAGTATTTTTTTAAAATTTTAATATTATATTATGAGCTACTTGTTACTCAGTATATATCTGGAATGCTTCTCCTGCATATAATGCATTATTATATAAATTTTCTTTTATTGTTCACCCTTTTTAGTTTTAAGTATTATGTATTAGTTTAAAAATAGACTTCAGGCTTTAGGACACAATTCCTGGAGATCATTTTAATGAATATTACTGGCTGAATTCCCTTGAATTCTGCTTACTGAAAAGATTTGGCTATAAGGAGTGAATTTAAGATTAAAAAGGAAAAAAAGTCCTAGGCCCTGTAAATATAAAGAGAACTCTCACAAGGGAAAAAGACAGGATAAAACTATGGTAATTCTAACTCCAAATTGTATTAAAACCAGGGTACTTCTTTATCCAAAGCAAAGCAAAAATAAAAAGGCCATTATATTCAGGTTTACTTAAAATATGAGCCCCCCTGTAAGGAGGATCAAGCATCTCATATATAACTTTGATGAACAAAGAATGTGAGAAAAACAAAAGCTCTCTAACAAGTCTACTAATTGAGAGAGGGGGCATTTTTCACGTAATGTTAGGATCCTAACAGACAATGTAAAATTTCTTCCAAGTCTGAGTACTGATTAAAGAACTGCAAGATATTTTGGAAAGGAAATACATTTTCAATATGCTTTGAGTGACCCCTGGTGCCTCAACAGAATTTTGCCGTGTACATATCCTTAGCATTTATTAGCTAACCTACACTTGATATTTATGTTTTTAATTCCTTATTTTAAATAAATATACATTTTATTAATGTCTATTATTTTTAATTATAACACTTTTGTATTTATCCCTCTCATTTTTCTTCCCAAATCTCTTAAGGTATGATCCAAAAGCTGATTCATGGTCAACTGTTGCACCTCTGGGCGTTCCTCGAGATGCTGTTGCTGTATGCTCCCTTGGAGACAAACTGTATGCAGTTGGAGGATATGATGGACATACTTATTTGAATACTGTTGAGTCATATGATGCACAGAAAAATGAGTGGAAAGAGGTACTCTCATAAAAGCATTCAAATTAGTGTATTTCAGACTGAAATAAAAGATTTTAAAATGTATCTTTGGAATTAGTTCCATTCTCTTCCTCCTCTAGGGCCTAGCCAGATTTTTCTAGGGAAATTTGTGTGTGTGTGTGCGTGTGTGTGTGTGTGTGTATATATATATATAAACATGTTTCATCTATGCTATAGAGAATTCTTAATTGATCATTACCAGGATCCATCAACACTCATATGAAAGAAGACAGAACATTCTCTCGACTTCATGGAAAGCTTCCCTTCACAGAAAGGAAGGGAATCAAATTCAGTAATTTAAGAACTTTACCTTGGCCAACATTCTATGTATGTATTACAACCTGAAAACCAAAGAGCAATATCTTCTTCTGCAAATGTCTCTCTTTCTGATTGGCCAATGCCTAGATGAAAAGCCTTCATTCAGTTCCCTCCATAAGGAGACTGTGTAAACTGCAAATACTCCTAACTTCTTCGGTCACTCAAGGAATTGAGTGCACAGTAAGAGACCAGAATTAGACTCTCTCAAGAGTGCTGGGCTTCTAAAAGAAGATATCCTAAGGAAGGTACAAGAAAGGACACTGAAAGGACATCTTGGACATGCTAAAGACAAAGTTTACCCTTTTGTCAGTTTTGCCAGAGATGGCCCTAGTTTTATTCCAAAATGTTGAATGGTATTTTGTTAATAAAATGATGGGTTATTAAAAAATGAAGTTTAATTAACTCTTCACCATCTCCACAAATAGGCAGAACCTCGTGTTTTGGTGCCTAATTTTACCTTCCCTTTTACTGACTTTATACTACTCTGTACTCTACAGGTTATAGCTGGCTACTGTTCTAAATGAATAGGTGTTAATGTAATGACATCTGAGAATGAGTCTCTTTCTCTTTTCCAACAATCAGATCCATTAAGACTTTCAGAAACCTTCAAATTCTACCATGTAGATAGCTCCCTACTTTATCAATGCTTAAAACCAGCCAGAAATGGAAGAAATAAATTTTAGCAAACAAGGGGTTAGGTCAAATACAAGAATCAAAGTGTTTGAATAAAATTGTGGGAATTATTTTTCTGACGATTATAGACCAGGACTTTCTAGGACACCAGGATCCTATTCCTGACTATCACTGTTTCATTGTGTAACCGTGGAAAGAGAAAGAGAAATAACAGATAATGGGACTATAACTATTATATGCTAAATTCTCTTCATTCATTATTTCCCTTAATCCTCATAAAAACCTTGAAGTGTATTATCATTTGTAATTTTTCAAATGAAGAATTTGATTATCAAAGAAGTGAAATTTACCCAAGATCACCTGGTCCTCAAACTCAGGTTTACATAATTCTTTCTAAAGACTGTGTTGTTTTCCACACATTACACTGTTACTTGGGCTGCAGCTTCCCTTACTTTATACAAGATGAAAGGTGGAGCGGAATAGCCATATTATGAACAGCTATATTATGCTAGAGGCAGAGTTCAAACAGCATTTGTTTTCTTATTTTTGTTTTCTTTTTAGGAAGCTCCTGTTAACATCGGAAGAGCTGGCGCATGTGTTGTTGTGGTGAAACTGCCATAAATCTGTTTTTGTCAAGTAAAACTGGATAATTTCAAGAAATGGAGTAGGAGGAAGGAGAAGAAACATGTTATTTTCTGCAGTTCATAATCAAACACGAAAATATTTTTGTCATTTTAATACGTAGTTGTAATTGTTCTCATTTTGAAGCCAAAACAAGTTTCCAAACATGAATTACATGTAAATGTCAAATGTATGTGTTATCATAGCTGATAATATACAGGGCAATCCAGTAGTCTAGCTTTAGCCTTATTACTTTAAACTGTCAAAATGTTTAGTGAAAATTTATATTCCCCAAAGTAGGAAGGGTTATAAAGCATTAGCAGGTTTCAAGGTAAGAATCTGAGAAGTTAAAAATATGTGTTTTTATTTCCAATAAAAGGTACTCTGTTATCTGGACTATAACTTAATATAAAAGAGAACATCTAAAGCCTAAAATATAGTCTAATTTTTAATAAGGCATCATTCTCTTATACAAACAACATCCTAAATAGCTAAATAATAGCTCACATTTTCCAAGAGGAAAGTTTTTACTGCATCAAAGCTGAAAAGCCGATTCATTGACATAATTTGTTCTGCTGATCACAGTATGTCAAATTTTCACAGACTCCCTCTTTCACAGTAACCATCTTCCAAAACACATGTATAAATTTGATATTCCTTAACATGTTGTCTTGTTAGATTTTTCACTGATGATAAAATATTATTGCAACATCATATACACAGCTGTACCATAAAATATTGAATATTTATCATATTGATACAAACTGTGACCTCAGCTTCAGAGTGTCAGGGCCTCAAATTTATAGTAAGTAATATTCTTCTCAAATATGTCTGTGAACTCTATAATTACCTACCATTAGTTAAATAAGATAACAAATGCAAAACAATTTTTAATGTATTCAAATTGAAGAATATGTTACATGATGTAAACACATGGAAACATCAAAATGTTCATTACATATAGTCAGTTCTGTAGTTATTTTTTATGTACCCATACATGCCTTTATGTTTATGTTATATTTTTCCAATACAATATGTTAAGGACATAGGCACTACAAAAAATTGTAATTTAAAAAGCAACAAAAAACATAGTTGGGTAGTATTTTAGCTTTAAATTCTTACTTCCATTTATTCAATTTAACAATAAAAAGTTGAAAAAAACTTTTTGAAGGTAACTTTTCAAGTAAATGTACATTTTTCAAATTTCTGCAATATATTCTTTTAAACTTTGTAATGTAGAATGACACTAACTTGTAAAATTCAGAGAGATGCTTATAAAATGCATTGCATTTTACGTTTTAAAAAATGCAGAATAAGTTGTACAAAAATATTTGTAATTTGACAAATTGAATTCAAATAAAATATATTTCCTCTGGTTATAAAACTGTGGCTTTAGAATATGTCAAGTGAAGCCTGAATTGATTTTTTTATATTATGTTGCCCTGACCCTAATAGCGAAAGTATTTAAATACCAAAAAAAAAAAAAAGTTCCCTGCTTTGCTTCTTACCCCTGTCATTGTCCCTACTTCTAAATAGAGGGCTATAGACTTCTCCAGTTCTAAAGGTGAGAATGGAGACATAGAAAGGCTGTAAAACAAAATACACACACAGCCATTTTGGGTCTTTTAAATTCATACCTTATCCAAGTAAATGTAGAATTACCTAAATTACCTTTTTCCCCAGACCACAGCTTGGTCTGTCAAGTTCAAAAAGGATATAAGCTGGTGGGCAAGGCGAAGATCAAAAGACTTACCACAGCCCAGCTTGTGAATGCTCCCGTCAGAGCTAGAAGTCACCAACAGGGAGACTGTGTCAAGAATCATGCCTGGTCAAGCAGGCGGAAATTGAATACCATCTCCTTGATGGTCCAGGAGACCTACTTCAGTTAGATCAAGTTCTTACTAGTATGAAGGACATGTATGTTGCCCACGTTTACCACTGCACAGCTGCATTTGAAAAGTCACACTGGAGCATCTATGGCCTAACTGGGCTGGCGAAATCTGAACAGATCTGAGCAGTCAGCATGATGAGCTACAGAGGCCCAGGGCATTAACACAGAATAGTGCCTGCCTCAGTCAAACCTAGTTGGGAAAAAGAGGGTTAGGGTCACCCCTTGGTACAGTAGCACAGTAGAGATGACCAATCAGGGCTAGTTTAAGTAAATAAGGATAAGAAGGGAGAGTTATTCATTTATATATTCTTTCAATAAGTGTAAAGGCCCACACATTTAGACACTATTTTCAGATGTGGAAAGAAAATATTGCTTGTTTCTCTATATCTGCTATAACCTTGCTCAGGATCTCCGACCCTGCAGCCCTCAGCCTGCAGCATGATGACCCTCCTGGTAAACTCTGCAGACTAAAGCATTAACTACCTTCCCTGTAATTCCACAGGGATTGCAGGAACTTCTAAATATTTTCTATACCACACAGGAGCTGATAGAATGAGAAAGTGCCGTTTACGTCTAATAGGAATTTTAGAAGAAAATATTTAGGATCGTTAGAGGAAGACAGTATTTAAATAAATTTTTTAAAAATTAACAAAGATGGGATTCTTTATATTAAAGAATCACACTGAATCTCAAGCACTAAAATAAAAACTAATTTCACATATAGACACATCATGATATAATTGTGAAACACAAAATACAAAGAAAAGTATTAAAAGAAAGCAAAAAGAGAGAGCTGACTAAAGAACACCAGCGATAGTGGAAACAAACCTAATCAAAAATAGAGGCTAAACCTGACAGGGAAAACAATAGAGAGTCCCTGACGGAGCAGGAGAAAGATAGGGGTGCAGAACTCAAATTCTAGTAAAAAAGACCAGACTTAATGGTCTGACTGAGAGTAGAGGAACCACAGAAGGCTCGGCCCCCGGACTCTCCATCAACTCAGAACTAAAACAATCCCCGAGGCCAAACTTTCAGACAAAGATTGGACTGGACTGTGGGACATAAAATGATACTCGTGAAATGTGCTTCTTAGCTCAAGTAGCTACATGACACTAAATGGGCAGTTTCTGTCTGGAGGTCAGATGAGAAGGCAGAGAAGGTTAGGAGCTGGTTGAACGGACACGGGAAACCGGGTGGAAAGGAGGAGAGTGCCATCACAGTATAGGGAGAGAAATTAGGGTCACATAACAATGTATGTATAAATTTTTGCATGAATGACTAACTTGAATTGTAAACTTTCACTTAAACTACAACAATAAAAAAATAGAGGCTAGATAAAATGAAATAATATCTTCAGAAGGCTGAGGGAAATTAGACATCAATCTAGAATTATATACCTAGCTAAATTAATGCTCAAGAATGAGGACATTTTCAGACAAAGACTGAAAGAGTTTACCACTCATTGATGGTTTCTGAAAGAAATACTGAAGTATCTACTTCAATAAGAAGGAAATTAAACCTGGGACGAAAGAGAGGAATACATGAAAAAATGGTAAGGAAAGTGACTGGTATATTTGGGTAAATCTAAATAAACAGTATATGTAAAAACGACGAGAATATTAATGACTAATTTAGAGAAATTAAAAAAGAATACAGTGGAACTAAAAGACAAGACTACAGTGGAAGATGAGACCTGAAGATTGGTCTTACTAATGTTCTTGTATTATTTTGAATGAGGGTACATATACTGTCTAATTTTGTACTCTCCATGTCCAATATTCACACAGCACATTAAAGGTTTATACTTTAAGTGAAATATTTATAAACTGGTTGACATCAGTGAAAATTGCCAAGTATAAACCTCCAAAAAATTTTCTTCCATAAAAGCAATGAGAAAAACTGGCAAAATTTGACAGAAACAACTTTTTAAAAGTTTTGGAAGTTAATCAAAGGCTTGCAGCAGCCCAGGAAAAATATATTTAAGAAAAAATAAATAGTTATAAACTTCCTGAATGTTGAAGGTGTGCACCAAAATGCACACAGAGACCCTTGGAAAACACTGGAAGATATAATGGTTCCAGAAGCTTAAGGAAAACTCTGTACAATAATTGGTGACCACTAAGCTAATAGAGACCTCAGTGGCCTCATGTGGAAAAGAATACTCACTTTGCTGAATTAGTTCAGAAAAATCACTAAACTACTACAGCAAGCATCAACAACAACAAACTCTGGGGCCTGGGTAGGGAGGGAGAGAGAATCTGATTCCCTGAGTTACTACATTATATTATTTAAAATGTTCAGTTTTCAACAACAAATATTACATCATATGCAAAGAAATAATATGACTTATACACAAGAAAAAACAAACAAGCAAAACAGCAATGAATAGAAACTGTCCTTGGGGAAGCCCAGACATTGGACTTACTAGAAAAAGATTTTAAATCAGCTATTTTAAATATGTTCAAAGAGCTTAAGAAAAAGATGAACAACACTATAAAGCAACTAGACCTAACAGACATCTGTAGAACATTCTACTCAAAACAGCAGAATACACCTTCTTCTTTAGGGCACATAAAACATTCTCCAGGATAGATCATATAAATTTATGAGGATGGAAATTATACAAATCACAAAAAAATTGTAAATTAATAACAGAAAGAAATTTGAGAAATACCCAAATATGTAGAAATTCAACAACACACTACTACATAAACAATGGATCAAAGAATAAATCACAAAGGAAATTGGAAAATGCTTTGAGATGTATGAAATAGAAGACCTAACATATGAAAAATTATGGGATGCAGCTAAAGCAATGCTTAGAAGGTAATTTATAGCTGTAGATGCCTACAATTAAAAGAAAACAAAAATATTAAATTACAGCTTAATCTTAAACTTTAAGATACTGTTAAAAAATAAAAAGAGCCAACTAAACAAAAAGCAAATAGAAGAAAGAAAATAATGATTACAGTGGAAATTAATAGAGAACATAAGAACAATAGAGACAGTAAATAAAACCATAACTGATTCTTTAAGAAGATAAATAAAATAAATTAAAAAAAGCCAGACCAACCAAAAAAAAAAAAAATAGAGAAGAATCAAATTAACGGATTCACAAATGAAAGAGGGGACATCACTATTGACCTTACAGAAATAAAATGTCTTATAAGGGAATACTTTGAACAATTGTATACTAACAAATTAAATAACAGATTAAATGGATAAATTCTTAGAAAAACACAAAATACCAAACTTAATTCTAGAAAAAACAGAAAATATGATAGACTTATAACAAGTAAAAAAAAAATTGCATTAATAATCCAAAAACTTTCCACAAAGAAAAGCCCAGGACCAGATGCCTTCACTGTTGAGTTCTATCCAGTGTTTTAAAAATAAAAAATTACAAGAGGAGAGAACACTACACAACTCATTCCATGAAGCCAATTTTGCCCTAATACTAAAACCAGATAAAAATATCACAAGAAAAAAAAATGCAGACCAGCATCTTTCATTAATATAGACATAAACATTCTCAAAAAATATTAGCAAGCTGAATCCAGTAATGTTTTAAAAGTATTATACAGACCCATCAATATGCTGCCTACAAGAGACACACCTTAGACACAAAGATAGAAATAAGTCAAAAGAAAAGGATGGAAAAAAATGTATCAAGCAAACGGCAACCAAAACAGAGCAGAAGTGGCAATATTAATCTCTGATAAAATAGTCTTTAAGGCAAAAACCAGCTTGAGTGACAAGGAAGGGCATTATACAATGATTGAAGAGTTGATCCAACAAGAGGACATAGCCATAATAAATATCTATGCACTCAATGAAAGAGCTCCAAAATACATAAAACATACTTTACCAGAATTGAAAAAAGAAATAGGCAACTCCACAATAATAGTAGGAGACCTTAACACATCACTTTCAATGAAGGACAAAACAACTAGGACAAATTCAAAAAAGATACAGAAGATCTAAACAACACAATCAACCAATTTGATCTCATAGACATATATAGACCACACCACCCAACGACACCATGGTACACATTGTTTTCCAGCCCTCAAGGATCATTCTCCAGAATAGACCATACGTTAAGCCACAAGCAAACCTCAATAAATTTAAATAACGCATAGCATATTCTTGGATCACAACACTAAAATTAGAAATCTATAACAGGAAGAAGAAAGAAAGAAAATCCAGTGCATGGAAACTGAATAACATCCTGCTTAAAAACCACTTGATAATAGAATAAAAAAGAAAAGTAAAAAACTCCTAGAATCAAAGGAGAATGAAAATACAACATACCAAAACACATAGGACACAGCAAAAGCAGTGCTCAGAGGTCAATTTATAGCAAAAA